GATACATATGAGTGAGAAAAACAAACAAAAAACTTCGGGAATCAGACAGCAGGAAATGGAGTTATAGGGAAAATACTTCAAAAATATAATTGTACAATAAAAATACGATTCGCTCATATATAGCTTTAATTATCGTAAGTCAAACTAGCTAGGCAATAGCTATAAATTAATTTAGTGTTAATATTTAGAAAAAAAGGAGCTTTTATTCAATCTTCGACAATTCTTCTTATTTTTGGTGTTCAGTAGCTGCCTTCTGCCTTCTCGCAGATAGGATGAAATAAAAGAGAATCTTGTATTTGTATTTTTAGATTTGCTATTGTCAAAAATAGTGCATTGAAAACTACCACTTCAGGTCTAATAGGATATAGAAATGCATATTATATTCAATTAATGCCGTAGAAACACTGCAAAGACTACTCAGTAATTGACTTTTCGTTAGACTAATGTGTTGAATTATTTTCTTTTAAATAGAAATGGGAAGATCTTTCAGTGACTTGAAAACATTTTTTATATTCATGCACTGTCGGCAATGTCTTTGAATAACCTGACCACCTGCATTCACATGAGTGTGATTAGAATGGTATAGCCCGAAAATAACTCCTAGATCATTCATTGAGAGAGGGTTCAACCCTCCTTTACTCCTGGGTATCCTCGGGTTACGCCACTAAATGTAATAAGTTCTTTTCATTATATGCGAGAGGAAGAATAGAATCGATTTTTTTTTCTTTTTATTATAAGTGCATGTAGCAGAGCATTGTAAATAATTCAGCTGAAGGAGAAAGAAAGAAAAAAAGAAACGTTAAAAGGTATTCTCATTAAACATAGCAGTAACTGCGAATATTCGAAAAATATTTATGAAACATGGTACGTATACTGTCGATATTTGAATAAAAAAATAATAAAAGTTCTGCTGTTCAATACATTTCCATGAGAAAAAGTATGAGCATTGTAAGGCAAGAAGTGCTGTTCTACAGTGTATTTTGAATAATCTCAATGGAAATTTTAATATCCACTCTAAGTTCAAGTTTGTTTGATTGAAAATATAAAAAATACTTGTCAAAATTTAATAATTAAGAATGGAACAAAAAAACAGCTAACAATGACTTCGTTTGTGCCTTCATTTTTCATAGTTTGACTATTTGAAGTTTAATTCATACACTAGGTAGTTCCCATGTAAATTACATGGCTATTCTTTTCTTAATCGTGACTATTGCTTTATCAAACTTGACTTTGAATCCTTAAACATTGACTCAATATTGCACGCTTTTATGCCCTTGTGAATATGTTACGGAATACTCCAGAATGTTCTAGAAAAATCACGACAATCTCTAGAGAACTATGCTAGACCGTTCGATGAAGCTCTAGAAAGTTTCGTAAATGCCCTAAAACTTTTAGCCAGGGCTGTCAGTAGAGGATGAGGATGCGAGTGTAATTCAGGCTGTGTGTATTCATGTTCTACATCCGTACTCAAATGACTACAACCATGCACACAAACCATCGAACCGCATCCTCACCAGCAGCTAACCCCACTCACTGAATCAAACCTGTACCTCCACCTACATCCTTTCTTGTTCTCTCTGGGTTTCTTGGATTTTCAAAGTTCTTAAAGTTGTTTGAGTTCTGCTCAGTTGTGTTTGATGATTGGTTATTTTTATTGATGCCTGAGTTACGAAATCCTCAAGAGTTCAGAATTTACAGAATTCGAATAGGTTTCATCAAGGTTGTGCCATACAGCTTTAATCAAATCTCTCTAAAATTGGAAGATCAATAAATAAATTTGAGTCCTTTTTCTTATAGATTTTCTAATTGTCAATATGGCATCGTACACATTCTTACCGATACCGAACAATTTATTTAAAGACGTTCAATATGGAGATGAAGAATTTATCGAAATTCTCCTGGATGAACGGAATTATGTCGAAGAGAATATGTCCCTACAAAAGGTATGGAAAACGAAAGATGATAAAACAATAATTGAAAAAAGTCTTAGAGTATTTTATGATCCTGATGAATGTCTTGACTTCATCACATCGTATGAATGGCGTAAAATATTCCTTTCTCTTACAGATAGATTCAGTTATATATTGCCATTAATTCATGATTTACCACAAATATTTTATATTTATATTTATTCCACATCATTACATAAAATATTCTATAGCAATGCTGATTATCCGAAATGAAGAGCTACTGTCAATGAAAATTCACCTAATGCAGATGATCAATTATTAGCTGATATTCAAACATGTCGACGAGATTTGATGCCAATGAAAATCGTTAAGCCTGTTCAACGAGAAACCAAACTTTTAATTCTACAACCATTGGATGTTGAAGAATATTCGGTTGTTTGTGTACAAGACGATGATAATAGTTTAACATTTGATACAATACCAATAATGGTTTTAATCAATCGTTTGAAAACATTTTCTAGTATTCTACAATCGATAAATTACATAAAATCATCTAAGAACACTTCGATATTTTTTATTTCATCGTGTAAAAATACGAAAATAATCTTGAAAGAAGTATCGCCTTTACCAAATGTCATTGCTATCTATTTCATGGATACCTCTCAACAAAATATGATTAATTTTTAAATGATTCTCATAGAAAAGTACATGGTACATATTTTGATATAAAAATTTTATCTGTTCAATTATTTCAAGACTATAAACGTTGGAAAAATAATTTACAATTATCCATTAGTATCTTCTCTCATGAGATTAATGAAAAAAACACTTCGAGATTTATCGAAAGAAAATACTCGATTTTTATGGTTGTAATTATTAATAAATATTTTAATTAAAGTACCATACAATGATCAAACAAAATATGAAATGTTACATGAATGTCGAATACACTATAATAATGATAAGAGTGCACAAAATCCTATGGATTTATTTGAAAAAACATATCAGTCGAATGAAGCTCTTACTTTTTATACAAATGATTCATTTTTATATCGTTTATTTAATCGAGCTTTTCGAACAGAAAATATTGATTATTTATTCATATTTCGCTTTTTCTTAGCCGATATGTATAATCATTTAGAAAGATTATATTCCGAGCAATTTTTAAACAATCCTTTATTAAAAGATAAAAAACTTATTCTATATCGTGATTAGACAATGAGAATGATAGACTTCAATCATATCAAGGATAATGTTGACCGTTTAATATCAGTAAATACATTTTTTTCTACGACTAAAGATTACAACATTGCAGTCATCTATTCTAGTTGTGAAGCTTACAATGAAGGATTCGAACTAATATCAGTTATATTTGAAATTGAAGCAGATTTAACTAATCGTACTATAAAGAGACCGTTTGCTTCAATACAAGATTTGAGTGCGATTTCTGATGAACTTGAAGTGCTTTTTTCAGTCGATTCCATTTTTCGCATTATCAATGTTCAAGATCGACGATTGAACGAAAGATATTGGTATGTCAAGATGATATTAGTTGGCGAAGATAATGATATCAAAGAACTTCGAAACGAACTCGAAAAAAAATATTGTCAAAATAGTAGTCTGTGTGATTTGGGAGATGCTTTAATTCAGATGGGTGATTATGAAAGAGCGGAAAGATATTTTCGCATGTTATTAGAATATTTACCTGAAACAAATTCATTTGTTAGTCACATAAATGCATCATTGGGAATGATTTTTTCGAATAAAGGAGATTATCAGTAAGCATTGGAATATTACGAAAAAGCGTTGAAATCTCTAACCAAAATTTGTATATATGATGAACGAGACAATATTGGTACGACAAACGTTCATATTGGTGCAATACATCAAAGTCTTGGTAATTTGGATTTAGCATTAAAATATTTTTTGATGGCAGCTGATATACAATCGTCTCCTAGTTCACTTTCATATGTATACAATCAAATTGCTTTATAAAATTATTATGAGTAAATTTTTAAAAATTTATAAAGTGATAATTTCAAGTTTTCAGGTTAATTTTTTCAAAATAATATACATCAAACAAAAGTTTTCTTAAAATTGATATCAGTTCGGATTGTTTTTTTTATTCAAAAATTAAAAAAAAAGATTGAAATTGAATGTCATAGTTTTTCAGTTTCGATTTTATGTTCGCAAATGAGAAGTCATACTAATTTCTGGGAGTATTTATTTTCCAAAAGATTAATTCACACAGATGTACCAATTCGATGAACTACATACCCACGGAATTGAGCTTTATTCGATTTTTTACGATGCAGATACACGAAAGACAATGTCTGCAAGGTGCCTACTATGCATCTGGTTGCATGCCAAAACGAGAACCGATATCAAAACTAAAATAATTTGAATGGTAATTGAAGTTGTGCTATGTTTTATTAAATACTTGAAATCTTAGCTCAAACTTATCAAGAACTCGCCAGATACGAAATATTCCATATGGCAATCGCAGTCAAAAGGATGGCAGCCATCACACCTAACGCTTTCCAATCTATTGGCTTTATGCCGATATCCTGTTCTTGATAATAATCTACATGCCATCCGATCCATGGATTCGGATGAAATTCCAGTGGTGGATGAACACAATGTGATCGAAATTGCCATTTATAAAATAATCGATCGCGCACAAAGTCTAAAAGTCTTAGTACAATAATGCTCAATGGAATACAAAAGTAGGCAAACCATTGCCATACGGGCCATGGATCACCATAGGGATGATGACCTCGAGTTTGTGCAACAAATAGCCAATAATTGACGAAGTAAATCAAACAAAAATTGAAAACAATGAGCGGTGTGGTTTTAATATCTCGTTTTGTATTGTGTGGAACAAAGAAATGTTCAGCCAAGCTGTACCAAAATGGCATCAAATGAATAAACCACAATGAATCTCTATAATGTGGGCAATGATCGCTTCTTGTGCAATCGATGAAGAAGAGTAAATGAAAAAAGAAACCCATTCCAATGCTTGTCGAAAAAAACAGACAAAAAAATTGATCAAGACGTATTCTTAAATGCTTGATAATAAAATCATTGATGCCTCTGAAAATAAGAATAATATCAAATAGAAAAGCCGCCAACATGTACAATGTTAAAGTTGTTAAAATCCATGTTGTCATATAGCGAAAACGCCAACCAGGACCGGGTAGTTCTCGACTAGAACTATTGTTACCCGGCGGTTGAAAGGAAGAAACGAAGCCGACTGATTGAAATACAAACATTCCTCCATGATAGATAATGTGAAGAGCATGAAGCCAAATCGGATAAGTTCGATGCAATTTCATCATGGCAGGATTATTGATCTACAAGATTAACTTTTGCAGTCCAAAAAGACGCTTAAAACTTCAATGAACACATATATAAAGGTAGTCCGATCCTATACTTGCTATGCCATTGTCGGTTGACCAAGCATTTCTTGTGTCATATATGCAGCAAATTATACGTAGAACTTTCGTTATAGTTGAAGAATTTAATTTTAATATTAGTTGACACGAACCCACTTGATGGTTAATCTCTAAAACACTTTTTTTTTTGAAAACAGTTCATCAGCAAGTTTTTTTTTGTCATAGAAACGGCAGGTTTTATTGAAACTACTTAGCTACGAAAGAGAGTTAGTTGATATTTTAAGAATCTAGAAAAAAAACAACAACAAAAGTCGAACCCTATCGCATGGTTGTTTTTGATATGTCATATAATATAATATACGCATTGCTTATCTATTGCTTGTCGAGAATCATTATCACTGCTCTTTTTTGAGTATACACACATTCCTTCGTGCACCTCTCATGCTTTCTCTCAGCGTCCTTGTGCGTAGCATAAATTAAGTGCGACTTAGTCAAGCTCAAAATGAGTAATAGTTGCCTCTTCTTTGTCAACAAAGGCAGCTCGCAGATAGTATATGATGCACCATGTGGAAAAATCTACGCATTGATGATGAATAAGCCAAACGCTAATAATTACCTCGCTTCAAATCAGACATCAATCTGAATAAACATCAGTATCGACTAGTATCTTTAAGGAAGTGGGTGTACAGAAGAAAACATCCAAATTCACACTCTATTCATAATTTTGCAAGTCTTTTTCATACTAAAATTTTTCATCAACTTCTCAAAAGTGTTCTATTGCTGAAGAATTTTCATATGTAGCCATATAAATTCCGGCAGTATTTGAAAAAACCGTGTTCTATTCATATTCAATGTTCCCCTAAAATGTGATCAAGCGATACGCTCAAGTTGAATATCTGACACATAAGCGTGTCTACCAGAATGTGAAAGATAAGAACGAAGTTTGAATATTTCCAGGGACATGATTTCAATTTGAACATCATCACAAAGGATCACCACCATCATAAACAATCTATTTACTAAACGCTTTATTATCATAGAAGATACTTTTTTTATCATTCAAGTGGATATTAAAGCATCCTAAAGGTTGTATAGATCGGTTTAATGAACATTTCCAAAGAGAAAACAGATTTATTAGAACAAATGATAAGTAAATACTGACTTTCTTATAGTAGATATGATCACACCAGAATGCAGAGATGCATTGCCACTTTCCTCAAATATATAGGCACTTGCGTTAAATTTTGCCGTTTAGTTTTCTCTGGATAGATTATGCAAAATTTGGTCACTAATTCTATTGTTCTATAGTCAATACCACGGTATTCAGATGATTCCGAAAAGTTATGGGTAGCTTGCCAACCTTCATACGATCATTTCTTATCAGAGAACTGTTCAAACGGTTCAGTTTTTGTCATAAGAACCTTTCAACAGTTCTCATTTGATTTGAACACATGTGCTAGAGCGATCATAGGCCTATTCAAGACCTATTCCATTGAATACCAAATGAGTATTGTTATTGTGACATCCATAATTATCGATGATTGCCAAATGTTGCT